AAAAAAAAAAAAAAAAAAGATAAATTGCTTGTAGGTTAGATTATTGCCAAATTTAAGAAGAATGTATTTGGGAGGTAGAGTTATGTATTACTGTATGAGATAGGTTTTATCTTAAGGTTAACATTTTTGTTACAAACTTAAATTTGTCCCATTTAGTTATTATGAGTATCCCATTCCTTGTATTTCCTTTTTTCCCACCTACTATGATTGGAGCCAGAGAGCTGTTGGTTTTGTGAAACGTTTTTCGATTTAATTGTCCAATAACTATTGGCTCCAAGACCTGGTGTCTAAAACTCACACGTATAGCCCCTCCCCTTCTCTGATTGTTTTCGTTAGGCCTCCATGGATGTTATTCTTCCTATCTGTGAACAAGGGATAAAGTATCTTGATCATTATTATTAAGTTAACCTTAGTTTAAACCTTATTTGACCATATATTTTTCTTTCTAGGATAGAGGTTTTGCCTTTATTTTGTGCCTTATAATCTCAGCAGTAGTTGGGGGAATCTTCCTCTTACCCTTTTGTTCCACTAACCAGAATCTTAACCTTTCTTTCTTTTCTTTCTTTTTTTTACTCTCTTTCTCTCCTTTTTTTTTTGGGGTAAGTGTTTCAGAAGCAGAATTTATTCCAAATATACACATGCATCTTCTCTTTTTCTTTACCTAACAATTGGAGGGGAGTGGTAGTTCTGTGAAGAGTAATAGATGTTTTCAAATAAAATTTTGATTTGAGAATAGAAAATAATAGATTTTAGATTCTACTACATTTTACAAAGTTTCCTAACCTTTCCTAGACTTTAAACAAAATTTATTACAGTAAAATATACACAATAATTTACCATCTTAACCATTAAAGTGTACAGTGCAATGACATAAAGTATTTTAGAGTTAGTTTTTTCTTTCATTTAATGAAACTCAGTAGATTGAGTAGAGAAAGGAAATAGAAACTCAGTAGATAGTAGTAGAGAAAGGAAATAGAAAAAGGGATTATAGAAGGAAAAGAGGTGGAGACACAACCTGGAAGAGGGTTTTATGCTGGGCATCCCGTCCGCACGCTCAGCAGCCCTATCATGGAGCTGCCTGATCCTTTCACAACAAGAAGTTGATACTGCAAGCCATTTCCACTTTGTAGATCTTCCCACATATTTCCTAACTTTCCTGTGGTTGCCAGCTGCATGGCTTCTTATACTACTGACACTTCATGGCCTCACGGAGCATATCCAGGGTGAGGCTTCTGTTTAGGGCCCTAGTCCTGTGTGCATGCACCTTCCATATGTCACAGTCCTGACAATGACTCTACTCTGCAGGATCCTGACTTTCAGTACCCAGCCGATCTGAAGCCATCTTACGGGGTATTATTATGAGTTTGTATTAAATCTTTCCCTGACCCTGGTTCCTCAGGATTTGAGTGCCTGCCTCTGCCTGATCTTTGTCCCTCTAATGTCGGTTGTATGTTTGCATCTCCTTTTGTCCCCTTGTGTTTTCTTTATTTATACTGTAATAAATGTCTCTTAAGATAAAGGGCTTCCATTAGTGATAGATGATCTATTGTTTTACTTTAGCTAATGAATATTCACTATAGTGTTATGTCTTAAATAATGTTACTACAGTGTCAGTGGATAAACACAATTTTGGCTGTTGATGTTACTGAGATAGAATCTTTTGCTCTTGCCCCAGGCTAGAGTCCAGAGGGATCAGCCTAGCTCACAGCAACCTCAAACTCTTGGGTTCAAATGACCCTCTTACCTCAGCCTCCTGAGTAGCTAGGACTACATATACCTGCCACAACAACCTGGCTCATTTTTCTGTTTTTTTGTAGAGACAAGGTCTCTCTTTTTCCTGAGGCTGGTCTCAGTCTCTTGACTCAAGCATTCCTCCCACCTTGTCCTCCCTGAGTGGTGTGATACTACAGGTGTGAGCCATTGTGCCCAGCCGGGATAAACACAGTTTTATCAATAAAGTACAGGGGTTAGTGTCATTGCCTTACCTGTCTTTACTTCACTTTGGTTTTGAAAATTTTATGTTATTTTCATAAAGAGATGTAGGTTTCCTTTGTTCACTTATCATAGACGTAGAATAAAATATATTAGCAAATTTATAGTCCTATTAGATTTGATTAGAAAAATAGTATTTTAGATTAAAACCTCTATAAAATTATCACTCTTCAGTGAGGTTTTCTGGAGCTAAACATTAGAATATGCAGAAATTTTTTTGTGGTAGGCTCGGTAGAGTGTTGTGACATCATAGTTCACAGCAGCCTAAAACTCTTGGGCTCAAGCAGTCGCTTGCCTCAGCTTTCTGAGTAGCTGGGACTGCAGGTGTCCACCATGACTCTGGCTACTTTTAGAGATAGAATCTTGCTTTTGCTTAGGCTGGTCTTGAACTTCTGAGCTCAAGTAATTCGCCTGCCTCTCAGCCTCCCCTAGTGTTAGGATTACAGGAATGAGCCACTGTGCCCAGTCTAAAATAGGCAGAATTTTTAAAAGTAATTTTTATTTTAGTTTAGGCCAGTAATAGAAATTATAATGAATTGGTTCATCTTAGGAATCACAGGCATTTATTTCTGATATTTTACCTGTTCATGAATGATGTAGGTAAAGAAACATGCAGAATTCCTCTTGCCCACCACACTTAATGTTTCTTACAAGTCATATTGTGAAAACATTTATTTTGTGTTCCGAGACAGTTAAAATTATATAGTAAGAGTTTGAAGTCAGGGGTGGAAGTGAGCAGAAATCAAGGAATATAGGACTGAATTAACATTTGTTACAGTAAGGTACCTGTAAAAGCCTTTCTGTTATCTGTTTATGTGAATATATTTCCTTTTTGGTTTGATATGTTTCTGAAACTTTGTATTAGAAAGATGTATAAGTATTATAATGCATTAGGTAAATAATTGGCTTTTTAAAATGCTCTCCTTTAAGTTTTATGATTATATTCTTTAAATAGTTCTCTTGTTTTGGCTCTTCCTTTAGACATTAGGGAATTTTTATTTACAGTCTAGAGCAGCAGCTCAACCTGTGGGTCACAACCCACAGGAACTGTATTAAAGGGCCATGGCATTAGGAAGGTTGAGAACCATGGTCTAGAGTTTAAGAGTAAAACACACCCTAAGCCATTTTAATCACTGTTTCTAATATGTATAGTGTGCCACTGAAGGCATTTTTTTTAATTTTTTGAATTTTTAATTATGGGTACATAATAGTTGTATATATTTACAACACAGTACATATGTTTTGATACAGGCATACATCACCTTAAGCATTATCATTAGAAATTAGTATCATTAGAAACATTCCATTTCCACTCTTTTTGTTATTTTAAATATACTATAACTTACTGTTGACTAGTCACTTTGATGTGTGAAGTTACTCTATATCTTAAGTTTCTGAGTTTTTTAATTAAGTGTTCCACTTGGTTATATGTCATATTTTTGTAGCAGTGCCAGAAAGCTTCTTAAAAAGCACAGTGTGAATAAGATAATTTGTCTTCCATGACTAGTTTATCTTAAGTTGATTCTTCTTTGGAGCTGTTTGGTTTCTGTTGTAATACTAATGTTGACTATTAATTTCTTTCCTACAGCATGGATTTGTGGAATCATTTCTATCACTGTCATTAGCCTGCTCTCCTTGCTAGGCGTGATCTTGGTTCCCATCATTAACCAAGGATGCTTCAAATTCCTTCTCACATTCCTTGTTGCACTCGCTGTAGGAACGATGAGTGGAGATGCTCTTCTTCATCTCCTGCCCCATGTAAGTAACATTTTTAATCTTTTATAAAGTTAAAAGTGAAAGATTTAAAAGCTAAAAGAGTCCTTCCTTAGCAAGCTATAGCACATTTATCTAGTAGTTGTGATGTTTTATTTGCTTATAGGATGAAGTATTTTTTCCATTTATACAGTTTTAATAGCCATGTTTTTGAAATCAATTTAATCATAGATTTTTAAATAGCAGCAAAGACTGGTAATGGCAGTTTTACTTTCTATTAGTCTTTAAAAATACTCATTGGATTAAAATTTACTATATTAGAAATTCTGAAAATGAATACTTAAACATTGAGTCATCTTTTAACCTATGTAGTGTATCAAGTAAGCCTTGGGGAGAGATGTATAAGGAGTGTTGTAAGTGATTGTACACGTAGCCAGGATGCCATCAGTATCTGTATTTGAGCAGTAGTAGGCAGACATGCTCAGGTAATTATTTTTGCGTTTTAGCTCATCATACATGGAGGGCATTTATCTTTTCACCTGGCGTACCACTTGTGTTCTTTTCTTTGATAGTTGTAATGATATGATCGTAAGTTTGTACTCCTAGCCAAGCTTATCAATTTTTTTTGAAGATTGCTATCTATCTGTAACCTATTGATAGGGAGGTAGCTAGCTATCTGTCACCTGCTAAAAGTATTTGGTTGACTTTCACTGTTTATGAAAACAATACTCTTCTTTTCCAAATCTAAAATTGCAATATTTAATATTTCCCTTCTGTAGTATTTGGGAAACAGGATTGTATTTGTATATTGTGTATCACTCTTTTCCCTTTCTGTAGTCTTGGTTCAGAATTCCAGAATTCTAATCTAAGAATAGTGTATGGCATTGCAGGCTAATGATAGGCTAATTAATCCATTTATAAATGGATTAATGAATCTGAAAACCGTGGATATGAATTTTTTTTGTTTCATCCTTTCTACCAACCAATAGGAAGAACAACAATCTAAGAGCAAAGCCTAATAAGGGCAGTGATAGTTAAGTGCCATTCAAGTTGTTTTTGTAGTAAAGAGGGTTAAGTAAACTTAACCATTGCCTTGTTGGGTGCTCTAATCTCCTTTGAAAGGTTTAGAAATCAGAGAAAGAAGATAAATAAATATTACAAGGAAGAAAAACACTTAAGCCTAGTTACCTAACTTAAATTCTCTAAGATTAATATTGTGATGCCTATATATTTTACAGTGTTGAAATATAACTTTTCCTATACTTATGTTTATTTTTGCTAAAGCTTTAACTTATGGAAAGTTACACACACATTTAAGTATATACTCTTATTAATATACACAGTATGTGCAAAGGTAACAATCTTATCACCTCTTTGAAATAATTTATAAGAGAAGAATCTTATAAAAGTACAGTTTAAGAAAGAGTTAGATTATAGGGAGTCATAAGCAGTGACCTGCTGTGAATTAGTTTGTGTGTTTTGTTTCTACTAAATAAAAACATTATTATGGCATTTAAGTGGGTCTTGTTCACTCTGATTTTCAAAGAACCCATCACCCTCCATTCTTACTTCTGGCTTGTTTATCTTACAATAGTATATATCTTACCCTCATAGGTATTTGAGTCTGATCTTCATTTTATATATAACACATATGTATGTATGGACAAGTGAGTAAAGCAAATTAAATGGAAGACTACTTAAAGTGAGATAATATCTAGGGGACCACTTTAACAATTAAAAGGTATTTTCTGTTTTCTGTAGGAAATTAAAATCTCAAATTTAAAATAGCACTTTACTTGCTTAGAAGTTTTCCTTATTCTTATTAACAGTCTCAGGGTGGACATGATCACAGTCATCAGCATGCACATGGGCATGGACATTCTCATGGACATGAATCTAAGAAGTTTTTGGAAGAATACGATGCTGTTTTGAAAGGACTTGTCGCTCTAGGAGGCATTTATTTGCTATTTATCATTGAACACTGTATTAGAATGTTTAAGCACTACAAACAACAAAGAGTAAGCATTTTTAAATTGTTTATTTCATTTTCTGAGAAAAAATTTATCTTTCTAGGTTTTTAAAAAGTTATGATATTGGTGTTAAATCTCTGTTTATTAATTAGCTAACCTTTAGAGAAAAAGCTGTCTTTGACCTTTGCCATTTTTTATATATTTATTTTGGCATTTTTAATTAAGATGTAGTTTAGTTATTTGTGTTGCACCATACCTAACTGACTTAGGATAGAGAAGGCTGTTGGCCAGTTTATGTTTATTATAAAAATGTAAAAATATATAAATAAAAGTCTCATCAACCTTAGGTAATATTTTTGATTACAAGTAGATTTTATTGTAATATCTTTTAATGAAAATCTTTATACACAGCACTTCTCTTTATCAGAAACACTTTGCCAATGGTAGAGGTATTAGAGGTGTGTGGTTGCCAGCTTAAGGGGGCTTTGTAGGAAGAAAGTACAGGGAAATGATGGAAATGGTGATTTTTTTTTTCCCCCAAGAGCAACTCACCATTTGGGAGAGAAAGCTTTATTGGACTACTGATTGAATACCCTGACTATCATGCAGTTGTCTGTGTTTCACTTTGCATTTATGAGACTATGACACATATTTAAAAAGAATTTCCCCCAAGAAAGTAAATTCGGGGCGGGCCTCTGTCATTCACTGTGGTTAACATGCCTCCCATTCACATCCTTTTCATATCTCCTTTAAAGCTTTATCCAGAACATATCTCACTAACACGTTTGAGTTACTAACACTGATAATCTTCAGTATGTTCTGTTTAAGTAAAGCTGTCCACACAAAAAGTTAGTTAGAAAACCCTTATATTTTGTTAGTTTACTTCAAATATCATTTTCTCTCTCCTCAGGAAAATTATGATCTTAATCTGTACGGTCTACTTTTAAGATACAATTTTATGCTATTTTTATGTGTATGTTTTGTTTGCCTATGTATGTGTGTTGTATATATCCCCTTGAGACAAAAATGTGCTTTGTTTTGGACAAGTGCTGACCTGGAATACACAACTAGCTGTCTGAATATGACTCATTCCCTATGATTTCCATTAGCTGTCTAAATCATGGGAAAGAAATCTTCTCATTTGTATTTTCATATCATAATTCAAATTGCATATTGGATTTTTGTCCCCATATTTTAGTTAGTACATATTTTATTGCCTTCTTGGGGGGCCAGGGAGGGAGGTGATTAAGATGGTAAACCCAGTGAAGTAATATCTGAGAAATAGTGAAAGGCACTGGGAAGGTTCAACATAGAGAAAAGTGAAAGAAGTCTAATGCCATTTGGACTTTGAAGGGTATGTGGAAAGTGAAGTAATTAATTCTGGTAGTTGGAAACAGAACTGGCTAGAGGGGAGTAAGAGTTGATGAAGGAGGTTACTGCAGAATGATGTGGAAGAGAGGTAACGGGCTTGAAGTAGGATCATGGCAGAAGGAATGGGGAAGAAAAGGCGATTAAGAGAATTATTAAGTGAGAGTATAAATAAGAGGATGTGATAGGGATTAGATATAAGAAATACAAGTATTTGATAGTTTATCACTACAATAACGTATTACAAAAATATGTAAAGCACCTTGAGAATTACCAGTTGAACTTCACTAACCCCCAAAAATCTAAACTCTGAAGTGCTCCAGTAGAGCATTTTCTTGGAGCATCAGGTTGGTGTTCAACAAGATGTGGATTTGGGGACTTTTGGATTTGAGATACTCAACTTGTCCTGTGAACCCTGATAGAATAGAGGAATGAGAGTTGTCTGTCTACTAACATCGAGGTACCAGATAGTAAGTGCTTCATATGTTCAAAACATTGGAGACTATGTAGTTTACATATAAAGTGTAGCCCTTCCAGGCATAGGTCAAAATAGAGAAGATTTGGGGTTTTTTAAAATTTAATCTTCTTGATCTCATTTCAAACCTAAACTGAAACACATTTATTTTTGCAACGATAACTGATTTCCAAAATACTGCAACTTTTTTCAAGTTGTAGGAAGTAAAAAACTGAAAGGAACACTTCGGTGCTGGAGGTGGTGGGTTGCGCTCTAAATCTAATAGTAAAAAATTCTTCAAGTGTATCAAAGAAGGGATTCTGACCAGATAAGTCAGAGCATCTCCTTTATGAGAAATAGGACAATTAGTAACCTAAGATAAAAAGAATATGGCTTTAAAAAAAAAAAAAAAAGGAAAGCAAATTAGTAGTACTTGAATAGAACAGACATTTGGCAGTCTATATAGAAAAATCAACATTTGGAAGGGAGTTGTCAGACCAGAAGTTAAATACTATCCCAGTTGCTGACTTGTTTCAGTAATTTAGAGGCCTTGAGAGGAATGATTTGCAAGTTTCTAAGAAAGTGGACAATCAGAATCAAAGCAATTAATAAAAATTCCATCTGGTGCTTGCATTCTCTTTAATTTCCATATTCTTCTCATTGACTTTTGTGCTTTTGACTATTGGCTCCTCTTTCCTATTTTTCCCCTTGACTAATGGTTACTGTTTCTTTAGGGCATCTCCATGTTATTATTTTCTTTTCAATATTTTGTATTTCCCCAGTTTCTCTTAGTGGCTTACTTCCACTATTTATTATTATTATTCAGAACTTTATGTGTCAGTAGTTTAGGCATGATTCAGACGGGCAGTTCTTTTGTTCTACCTAGAATTTGCTAAAGTTACACTACTACATTCAAATTCATCTGGTTACTAGCCTGGGATGCATAGCCCCAGGATACTTCACTCCCTGTCTGTATCCTGATGCTGCTCTTCCACAGGGCCTGTCTTTATAGTCAAGACTGAGCTTTTTCGTAGGATAATGGCAGTTACCCTGAGCAAAAGCAAAAGCTGCTAGCCTTTTTTTAAGACTAGTCCTGGAACTGGCACAGAATCATTTTTGCTACATTGTATTGGTCAAAACAAGTTGAGAAGCCATCCAAAATTCTAGATGGGGAGTAGACCCTACCTTTTTAGAGGTGCAGCAGAATGCTCATTCAGGGAGGGAGGAAATTGATGGTGGTCATTTGAGGTTCCCATATTCTCAACTAGCTGTACAAGATTACTTAGGCAGCACATACAAGACTTAACACCTGAAATGTGGTACAGCCTGTGGATAAACCAGGAATAAGAAAATGTGACACTAGTTACTAATCATATCCCAGAGAACAATGACTTTTATTTTTACATTTGGTTTCTTAAATTAACATATATTAAAAGCCTCAATTTAAGTTGAAAGAGTTATTAGTGGTTACATTGATAAAAGAAGAAGGTACTAAAAAGCCAGACTATTAAGACATACAATAGGAACAAGTCAAACCTAAACAATGAAATACAGTAATTTATATTTATAAGTTGTTGAGGACAAATTAAATGTTTACTTTCTGATTATAAGGTGGTAAGAAAGAATGCTTGTCTATTCCTGTGATAGGTCATTTTTTAAATACCATCTCATTTAATCCTCATAAAAATCTTAAATTTTCATTGGACAGATGAGTCATTCTTAATTGAGCAATTTTGTTAAATTTATTAAAGTCTCAGCTATAAACTCCAAATTTAGAATTCTTGATTTATATATATACATATATTTTTTTTGTCTGTTTTTTGAGACAGAGTCTCACTATATCACTCTTGGTAGAGTGCTGTGGCATCACAGCTCATAGCAACTTCAAAGTCTTGGGCTTAAGTGATTCTATTGCCTCAGCCTCCCAAGTGGCTGGGACCACAGGCACCTGACACAACACCCAACTATTTTTTTGTTGTTGTTGCAGTTGCCATAGCTAGCCCGGGCCTATTCGAACCCGCCAGCCTGGGCATACATGGCCAGTGCCCCAAATTTAGGATTCTAACTCATATTTGACTCTGTTAAGTCACATTCAGGGGAATGTGAGGTTACGTTAACTACACAAATTCAAAAGAATAAACTTTAATTTTTTAGAACTTCCTATTATCTTACACTATCAAATGAGAGAGATTGCACATATTTTACTCATTTTATTTTGGTTGCATATAATAATTTAGTTCTTAACTTTAAAGCACATCTCTTGGTTGAGGATTAAAAGACAAAACAAATTTAGTTAGAGTTTTTATCTGGTAGATTCCTTGAAAAACTTTTTGAAAAATTTTCTCACCCCTTTTCTAAGTAAAAAGTTATGTATAAAGTTAACACCAGTTTTTCCCAGCGGCGTTAACAAATGACTTTTGTTGATGATTGTGACTACAGGTTTTATACTAATATCAGATGCCTTTTTTAGGGAAAACAGAAATGGTTTATGAAGCAGAGCACAGAAGAATCAACTATTGGAAGAAAGCTGTCAGATCATAAGTTAAACAATACACCAGATGCTGACTGGCTTCAACTCAAGCCTCTTGCCGGTAGACAACAATTCTGACTAAAGAGAAACTTTTAAGATATACAAATTGAAATTTTGCTTCTAAACTATGCCTGTGTTGTTTGAAATTTTTTATTTTTATGACTTCCCTAATATTTATCAGTTTCTAACATGTATTTCCTTAAATGTGAATTTGTCTTAATTGTGCTTTTATTTGTTAGTTACTTCTGTTATTTTCAGCCTTATTTATGCTGGAATGTGGTGCCAGTTATACTGGGGAGCAGGGAACAAATGTACTTACGGTTTACAGGAAAAAAATGAGTGAAACAAAGAAAATGACATTGAAAGTCGTGGATTGATGTTAGTTTGGTTTCTTGGCAGTGCTTATCTCCTCCCTGCATGAGTGATGTCTAATGGAAAAGGGAGAATTGGCCTCGCATTTATATTTAAAATCTCTGCTTATCCATTCAGCTATTTTTTTGCCTGATAGATGTAATAAGGTTGCTTATAATTGTTTGGAAACATGAAAAAAAAATTTGACCTAATATTTTCCTCTTTATGTTTAAACTTATAATGCCACTGAATCCAGCAATGCTTTTCTGCAGAAGAAGTATAGCTAAACTTTAAATGTAGAACTCTGCCCCAAATACAATTTGGAAATTATAGGAAACTTTGTCACATTAACAAACAGCTTTGGAAAACTAGTGAAAGGCCAACATTAATTTTTTTTTTTTTTAAATACTGCTTATCAGAAACGTAAAGGGGTTTCTGAACTTCATCCTAGCAGTGATCTCTGAGTAGCACTGTCAAATGGTGGGCCATTGAGGGATGTAAAGAAGTTTGACATCAGCTGACCCTGTGATTTGGGAAAGTTATTTAAATTTTGTCTTTGTTTTCTAAAATGAAAAAGGTAAGAGTGAGTAAACTCTTAAGATTCCTTCTTACTCTGAAAAAATTACGTGCTGTCTTTTGTTATTTGTAAATACTTCAGTAACACTGTTCCCTTTGATTTTCATTAACTATTCCATGAGTTGTGCCTTAACTTTCGTAATATCTTCATATTTTCCAACTTTTTTCCTCCCTTTGCCTGCTTTTGATTTCAGTTCCCTTCCATTCACCTCATCTGGAGCATCTTTTGAACCCTTCGAACCCCAGTTTGTTTTTGGTGTGTGCATGTTCATGTTTTTATTGGTTGGTTGATCAGACTGCAGAAAGCATTTTTTAATTAGAATAGCTTCTGAATAATTTTAGGGAAATACAGTTTTTAAAGAATTTTTAAAGACGTTCACTTAAGTTCATTGCACTATTTTCTCTGGGTCTAAATTAGCAAATATTCATGTGTTTACTTCCTGATAAAGCATATTCTTTGCTATAAACGTATAGGAACTGATGACTCGGTTATTTCTGAAGATCGACTTAATGAAACTGAACTGACAGATTTAGAAGGCCAACAAGAATCCCCTCCTAAAAATTACCTTTGTATAGAAGAGGAGAAAATCATGGACCATTCTCACACTGATGGATTACATACCATCCATGAACACGATCTCAACGCTGCCGCACATAACCACCATGATGAGAATAAAACTGTGCTGAGGAAACACAATCATCAGTGGCACCACAAACATTCTCATCATTCACACGGTCCCTGTCATTCCGGATCAGATCTGAAAGAAACAGGAATAGCTAACATAGCTTGGATGGTAATCATGGGGGATGGCATCCACAACTTCAGTGATGGGCTAGCAATTGGTGAGTAGACTTGAAACATGGGCGATAATTTGTTCTTTGAGACCGTTTTTCTTCTTCTACTATATTGAAACTAATTTTAAATATGTAATGATAATATGTAATATTAAAATTTGTCCAGAGCTAACAAATAACACTATTATATATTACTCTTGTCATTTGATTTTTCCAAAGTCCATGCTTCTGTGTTTGATAGGTGAATTAGGAGGTATAAAGGTATAGTCTATTGTTTTTTTTAATATACACACAAATGTCTATAGTATACTTCTTTAATGCACATAAAACTGGTTTTTTTATTCAAAGTACAGTCACCATACTGGAAGAGCTTTCTTAACATTGTATTTTCAAATACACTTACATTTTCTTGAAAAAGAACAGTTTAGTTTACACCTTAAGTTTAATACATTTTATATATTTATTTATTTATTTTGAGACAGAGTCTCACTATGTTCTCCTTGTAGAGTGCTGTGGCACCACAGCTCACAGCAACCTCAAACTCTTGGGCTTGAGTGATTCCCTTGCCTCAGCCTCCCAAGTAGCTAGGACTACAGGCACCTGTCACAATGCCCGGCTTTTGTTGTTGTTGTTGTTGTTGTAGTTGTCATTGTTGTTGGCAGGCCCGGGCTGGGTTTGAACCCGCAAACGCCAGTGTATATAGCTGGTGCCCTGGCTGCTGTGCTATAGGTGCCAAGCCAAGTTGGATACATTTTTCACATCTTTGCAAAGGTGAAGAAAAATTTTATAACATTAAAAAGTTAGTGCACCAAATTCAAATATATTAGAATCTTGTTAATGTAAACTAATATTGCCAATCTAGGAGAACATTAAACGTGATCAATACATGGTTTTCTTTGAGATCTCTATTATCATCTAGAAGTAGGCTTTGATTTCTTTTGGAAAGCTAAAATCGTGTTTTTTGAATTCATAGTAGTTGTTAAAAATTAAGAATAAAGAATTCTGCTAGTAAGTGGACTTTGATGCACTTACACTTCTGATCTCAGACCTGAAGACCAAGACAGATATGTGGTGCTACTTTGAGTCATTTATGCTACAGACCTATGGAAGTTTAGATAAGGATGCTAGCCATTTAAATATCTATAAATAGCAATGTGAGAGACCTATAGACTTATAAGGCTCAAATTGAGCTTCAGGTTGCTACTCAGAGATTGAAAAAATGAAAATTGCTCCTGTTCCTAAGCTGTTAGTGAATTAGAAGGTTCTACAGGAGAGAGAACTCAATTACATATGCACTGTTGCTTTCATCGAGTCGCCTTTTCTATATTGTCACACACCTGTTGTGCTCTACTATATGTTCAAAAGCTATAGTGTGTAAGACAGATGAGTTAATCATATATTATGAAAAATTTATATTGACAAAAGAGGCTTTATCTGTCATTATTAATGAAAATGTAAAAACAGAAGATCCATAAATATGACTTATTTTTTTCTTACCCTCTTCAGGAGCAGCTTTCAGTGCTGGGTTGACAGGAGGAATCAGTACTTCTATAGCTGTCTTCTGTCATGAACTGCCACATGAATTAGGTAATATAACCTTAAAAAATTTTTGTCTGAGACTTCCTCAATTGTAAATACATCCAAATTTCAGAGATGTTAAAACAAAAAATGGGTAACGGCAAGTATAAAGTTCATTAATTTTAAGATATAAGTTGATCTTAAAACATAAAGAAAATATGTGCTTCTTAAGATAGATGAAATGTTATTTTTTATATGCTTTTCTTTGTATTCATTAATACAATTATGCTATCATGGTGAAGCATTATAGGTTATGACTAATTCTCTATAACTTTGAAAAAGAAATATTATTTCCTTTTTTTAAAAAATTAAATCATAGCTGTGTACATTAATGCAATCATGGGGTACAGTGTAGTGTTTTCATATACAATTTGAAATATTTTCATCAAACTGGTTAACATAGCCTTCATGTCATTTTCTTAGTTATTGTGTTAAGACATTTATATTCTACTTTTAGAATGATTCACTTGTACCCTTGTAAGATAAACCATAGAGGAAGAAATATTATTTCTTAATTTAAATGCCGTATTTTGCTTTTAGCTTATTTTGATTTTATTTCATATATTTATATTTTTTAATGAATAAGGGTAAAGTTTGCACATAATTGAAGGTTGTCCTAGACGTATCTAAGATAGTCTTTCTTCATAATACTTGGTAATGCAAAGATAATATTAATGTTCAAAAAAGTGAACCAGGCAGTTATTAAAGAAATTGAAATGCATTCTTGTTTCTGTCACTCATCAGTACTAAGACTTTGGAATAGTCATTCATTTCTAAAAGCTTTTATTTCATCTTTTAGTGTAAGAGGGTTGGATATATTTATTTCACTATTATATATTAATATATATATATTTTAATATAAATATTTATTTTAATACTTTATAATCTTAACATCTAAAGATCTTGTGTTAGCTTTTTATGTGATTTTAATAGAGTGGAGCTCAGTACTCAAAATAATTTAAACTGTTTTAGAAGATTTGTTTTCTTGTTGATGGACTTTCCACTGTAATAACAACATGTAAAACATTTCTTTTTAGATTGGACCTTCTTCTTTTCTTTACTCTTTCTGCTTACATCTATTTCTCTCTCTGATCCAGACAATTCTCTTATATTTATAGTTGTTTCTTACCTTAATGTTAACTAGCCACTATGTTTTAAAATCTGTCCAGGTTACCATGATTTATTACTTGTTGCTTTTGCCCAGTACTCAGAGGTATGAATTCACCACATTTTATGTATTTAGCAACTGCACTTAGTATTAGACAGGCTATATAGCTTTTAAGTTTCTGCCTCCACAAATAATGGTGTATTGAACATCTATAGACTTGGCAGTTACCAGCCCCTGTGAGAACATCTTTTAGGTGTATACCCAGGAATAGAATTAACAGGTCCTAGAATATGTGTGCCTAAGAAATACCAATCACTGTCCACAATGGCTGAACTACTGTAATTTCCATACGGCAATAATTGAGAGTTCCTTTCTTGCCACAGCCACCCAAGTAGCTGGGACCACAGGTGTACATCACAACACTGGATAGCTTTTCTATTTTTAGTAGAGATGGGAGTCTCACTCATGCTCAGGCTGCTCTCGAATTCCTGAGCTTGAACAGTCCACCTGCCTCAGAGTGCTAGGATTATAGACATGAACCACTATGCCTGGCCTGGATGTATAATCTTACATCTTGTTCATGCTCCATAATCCTTTACCCAGCCCAAGTCCTCATTGTCTTGTCATGTTTTACTCGGACCATACCCATAGTCTTTATATCTCTCATATACCTTCTTGCCAGATATGTCTTCTTAAATGTGGTATGTTTGTATAATCAAAATCTTCCAGTAGCTTTTTTTTATGTATAAAAAACCCCTAGATTTATTAGTCCTACATTCAGTGACCCTTTTTTATTCCCCTCTTCCCACCTTTTCAGTCTTACCTTACAGCACACCCCATTGCATGTTTTCATTTCACTTAAAACAGTTCACCAAACATATAGTGTTGATGCCTGAACCTGTTGCTTTGTTTATACCATTGTCCTACGTACCTTGTTAGGATACCTCTATCCCTACTTTATCATGTGAAGAATCTTTCATCAGGTTTGTTACTGTCCTCCACCACCTCGCTTGCTTGGCTTACTCTTTTCTCAAAATTTTATCACTTACTTTTCACTGGGTCCTTCTTTTGGTACTTGGTACATTTTCTTTTTAGATGTCTTATTTCTTGAACTTAGTTTACTTGTGCAAATACCATACACATATATTCTTCTCTAACTACTGGATATTACCTTTAGCCCAATTTTATAGCAATACAAATCATGCTTTCTATTGGCTTTTATACAGGAATATGAGTAACGAGTAACGTACTGCTTTTTTTGGTTAAGGAGTCTCACTCTGTTCCCCCAGTTAGAGTGCATACAGTAGGTTGGCATCAACCTGGCTCATTGTAGCCTCAAACTCCTGGGCTCAAGTGATCCTCCTGCCTCAGCCCCCTCAAATAGCTAGGTCTATATATAAGTGTGCACCACTATACCTGGCTTAAGTTTTCTATTTTTAGTAGAGATGGGGGGGACTCACTCTTGCTCAGCCTGGTCTCAGACTCCTGTCCTTAAATGATCCTCCCATCTTGGCCACTCAGGATACTAAGATTACAAGCTTGAGCCACTGCACCGGGCCCCTGCCTTATATTGTAATCTTTTACTGTTTCACCTTTTGACTACAAATAATACCTGTAGGCGTACAAACAGGATGTTGGTTTGGTGCAAACAATGCCTGTAGGTGTTGTTCATTTTACAAACAAAAACTCTGTTGCCTGACTTGAGTCTGTAAGAATCATATGCTTTGCTTTCCTCCCAACATTTTTCAGAGTTGTGCCTGAAATAATTTGTAAACTAAAACCAACTTCGGAGAAGTATTTTGATTAGTAAGAAACCAAAGACTGTCCATTAGCACACTGTGTGTCGTATTGGTTGTTGCAGTCACTCCCACCTCAATTGGCACATTTAGTTTCTGCATGCTCCATAGTCAAGGAGTTAAAAAAAAAACAGCTTTCTTAATAATAGAGTTGTGTCATCTTTCTTTTTCTCTCTCTCACACACACCCTTAATACACTAGAAAAACCTCCAATTTCCTTGCCACTAATCTACCCAGTCCCCCTTAAATATAGTATCAGGCCACCTCATTTGTGATTTTGTTGAATTGCCCTGACCTTGGATGATTCACAGAATTGTGCACAGAATTGAAAAGGAGTTCTGGAGATTAGGCAGAGTTGTCTTCTTACGACTTACTCCTTTTTCTCTCTGTAGTTTCTCACTGAAGGAGTGATACAGAGGGATTTATAACCATATGTAGAATAAATGTATTATATGTATTAGTAACTATAAGCCCTTGCTACCCAACCTTGAGCTCAGATAAAAAGCTGGATGGAAGAACTCTGCTTGAATTAGCAGCCCTCAGTGAGTCATTTTGACCGCAAATGTCTATTTTATCCCCTTAAATAAAAGGTTGGGATATTGCTTTTGCTGAGAGAGGAAACATTCATTGAAAGTATACTGAACTTTGTCAGAGTGAAAGGAGTTTGACTGCATTTTTCCCCAATGCCTAGTGTTAAATCAGCTTAAACTGTCCCATACTCTAGCTGGCTAAGATACTGGGAAAGGACATAAAGAAATGACCCAGCTTCCTTTCCTGGAGATGGCAGAAAAGGTTTTGGCCCTTGTGTCTGTTATCAAGATTGGAAGTAGTCTATAGACTAAAATAAAGGAAGTAAAAATGTCATTGTGGTGCACGCCTATAGTCCAGCTACTCGAGAGCTAAGGCAAGAGAATCAGTTAAACCCAAGAGTTTGAGGTTGCTGTGAGTTGTGACGCCATAGCACTCTACCAAGGGTGATAAAGTGAGACTCTGTTTCTACAAAAAGAGACTCTGTCTCTGTCTCTTCCCCTTCATTTCAAAAAAAAAAAAAATAATAATAAGAAAAGAAAACCAGTAGAAGGACATAAAGAGGAAGTAAGGTTGAGGATAATCCAGAAGGGCAGAAGAAGGATTGGCCTGTCTCTGGGCATGAACCCAGGAATGGATCAGCCACCTGGGTTCTCTCCAAACAGCCCTACAAGGTCTTGGGTTCCACCAGCATTCACAGACCGCGTCTGCGACTCCTACAGGGATTTTTGACTGTGAGTGTGTACAGTGAGCAGGTTCTTTTCTATAATAGTCCACCATCTTGGTCTACAACTGTTTGTCAAACTCTCTTGACACTGAGTGATGTTTTTCAGTTTTAAAGATAAAATATTCTGATAAATAAATGTAATCATATTATTAACATTCAGCTCAAAGAAATTATAATGTTGTATAATTCACTTTCCTTTTCAGTGAATTTAGGATTGCATAGAAATTCAGAATAAGATTTCTGTAATGTGCTAAATTGTTGAAGGAAGATTGAATATTCATTGTATAGATTTATACGGAACTTTAATGTGTATGTGATCATTATTTAAGACAAGAGTAAAGAACCTTAAAATATATACCTTAAAGTATATTGCTCAGACTAAGTTCTATTTCAAAAATACGGGAGCATTTAAGTTGGGTCCATAAATATTTTTTGTTTTAAAAAGAACTTAATAGTTGGTGTTACTAGATGTTAACATAACTATAGCATTGGCTCATGTTAATTAACAGCTTTGGTAGGTACATCTCATTTGTTGTAGTAATGATATCCTTTGTTAGTGGGAAGGAGAGAATATTGATTTATGAAAGATAAATAGATCTGCATGTTCAGTGTAAAAATCCTGACTGTAAAGACTCCTTTGACTTATTTTTAAAATATTTACACAGATTCTTACTTGATAAGGGAGAGATAAGGAAAAAGAGAGAAAATATGCAGACACCCTTGAGAATTTATAACCCAAAATAAGACTAGGATAAAGATACATTTTATTTATTTTTTAAATGAAACTTTAAAAGATAAAAAAAGTGAAATTTAATCTTTTAAGTTCAACTTTCAGTTATTTTGATTAAAG